TCCACCTTGAGTGTGTTTAGAGATCTTGTCCATGTCTTCAGTTGAAAGAGGACTGGTGTTTTGACTGCTCTGATGATATCACTAATAGGAAGTGCCGTCAGAAGCGATAACTGACGAGAACTGTTCCTGGCTGACTGCAGTCAACACGTCTGCACCAGTTGCTGCTGTTGCCCAGGATTCAGTTGATCTGAACTCTGACAGCCTTTCTGTATTCACTCAGGCGGCCAACTGGCAGAGGATACCAGCAGCTTAGTATTGCAGGCCTCTTGAGTCACCTGTGAGGCCTGCCGTGGAGGCTCCACGAGCCAACTTCTGCTCAGAGCCTGCTGGAGTATTGGCCTGGATGAGGTAAGCTTTGGTGTGGAGAGGTTGGTGGTGTTTGAGAATAGCTAGCTGTTTGGTCAGATATTGGCAGTTTCATTTGATTGCCAGAATAGGTGTAAGTGTAGGCTTGACCTTTATTGATAGGATATCCTGCGGGTACTGTCTTAGTTCATGGGGCCGTGGAAGTGAGAAGAATGTGTAGGCAGAAAGCCGTTCCCATTTTACTTGAGTGTTTAATCTTGAGCAAATTATCCTTTCTGCCCTGAGGTAAGCCTCGCTCATTTATGAGAATTAACAGTAGGTTTGTGACCTTGAGGATGGGCTACTAAGTAGAGATTGTAACACTCAAGGTTATTTGGGATTTGTAGGTTTAGTAATTCACAAAGATGCCCCTTCTGTGAGGTTCTAAGGGACGATGTTAAGAGAATGGTCTGACTCAGCTTGTAGACTTGGAGGCTCCCAAGGGCATTTCCTGTTCTGGAACCTTATCTTGTTTCCCCAGGTTTTGGAACAGTGCTGGCGTGCAGTTCTAGAGCTGGCAGCAGCTCAGTCCTGGAGGAGGTAAGCCTTGATCTGCACAGTGATTTATCTTGGAGGGCTAAGCAGCCAGTAGTAAAAACTGGTTTTGAGGAGAAGGATATCCAATGATGAAATCACCAAAAATAGCTGGAATTACCGGCAGATTGGCAGTGGTGAGCCTACGGTTTTCTGAAGATATCTTTATGATTTGAATGACTGTTGGTGGGAGCAGAAAATGAGATTGATACTCAGTTTCAGTTTCTTTGCAGGCGAAGGACCTGAAGCCGCCATTCTGTCTGAGAATCTGTGTGACTGGAACATTTGCTACAGAAGACACAAGCTTGTCAACAGATCTCGTGTATCTGGCAATTTTTTCTAGGACATGCATGGCACACTGGGTGTCAATCATTAACCTTCCCAACAAAGAGGAATTTCTATGTCTTTGGATAAATTTACACTTGCAAATGTATGGGGCCAGGGATGTAGCTCAGCAGCACAATGCCTGCCTGGTAAGCACAAGACTGAGTTTGATTTTTGGTACCAAAAACAAAAACTAAAAAACCCAACCAACATACATATTATTATAATAAAGGGTCACCTTTGGTATTGATTCTTAGAAATATATATTTGAAGAGAAAGTTAAATTTGAATACTGTAGGTGTTAACAGTGTTAGCTTTTAAGTTTGTAAACTTGTGGTCAGTCTCACCATTTTAACTGTAGACTTCAAGGGCAAAAATCCTGAAGCACTTAAGGCACCCACACTTGATCCCAGTCCCTGCTGCACTGCCCTGTGACGCATGTGGCTGAGGTGGCTCTGTGCCACACTCAGCCAGTGCTGTGGAAGGACTTTCCCAGCCTCCAGCTTGTTTCTATCCTAATGTAGAATACTGTGGCTGGAGGTTAGAGACCAGGTCTTGACAGTATTGCTACAGTCTGTTTTTCTCTGTATTTTTCTTGCCCATGAGAGTTTTGTTGACCCAGTCATAAGTTAATCTGGTTTAAGAATGGTTCCCAGTTTCTCTGGAGTAGGGATTGTGCCTAGAAGGGCTTTAAAAAATTGGTAGGGCCTTTCCATGAGGAGAATTGGTTTAAGGGTAGGTGTAGGGATAAAACTTGCTGTGTGGGGCTCTCAGGGCACCCACAGTGAGGCCGCCAAGAGTTTGGGTCATCTTTAGGGTCCTGGTTTTTGAGAGCCTCCTCCAGTGGGTTTTAGGAATGGGTTCAAAGTATGGGCTATTTCGGGGACTAAGTGGAAGAGGAATTTGTGAAAGGTCTGAAACCCAGCTAGTAGGTCAGTCTTGGCTGAGAAGGAAGCAAGCCTTGTCACCAGGCTGCACAGTGAGGATATGAGGCCATACCAGGGCTTGGGGTTCCCAGAGCCTTTGCTGTGATGGCATCTGGGCTGCCCTAGCCACTGCCAAGTGGCATCCATGATGCTGTGAGTGAGTGGGGATAACTCATCGGGAAGGCCTCCAGTGGACGTGTAGGCCTTCCGTGCTTGCCCTGCATAAAGGTACTTGGCTCATTCAGTGAGGAAGAGGAAACCCTGTGAGTGGAGCATAGTTAACATCTATTGTTTGCATTTGAGATACAGACAGGGTGAATGTAATGAGGAAAATTGGAAAAAATGCTGGGTGTGCCGAGTATCACGGAGAGTTTGAGGCCATTCTGGGCCATGCAGTGAGTTCAAGGCCAGCCTGAATTATATAGAGAGCTTGCCTCAAAAAAAGGAAAAGATCCCTGGGCCTGACTAGTTTTCTGGGAGAATGCTCTGCATATCCATTATGGCTGCCAACATCTCTAGGCCACATGCTTCCTGGCTGCAGTGTGGGGAAGGCCAAGGGCTGAGCTGAGAGTTCTTGGCATCTCCTGAGCTGGGAATGACTTCTTAACAGCCAAAAGGCATATGCTGAGATTTACAGTGGGGAGAGGCCTGAAGGGGAGTAGGGCACAAATCCCTTCTCAGGTACCATGGTATGCTTGTGGTTGGAACTGCCCAGACTGATTTTTCACAATAGCCTGAGCTCTCATGGGAGGAGCCTCGAGCCTGCCTTAGCCATCCTACCCCACAGATTCTCTGGTGGGGTTCTCCACTTCATGTCATGTCTGACTTACAGCTGCCTTGCCCTTGTGGTCTTTGGCAAGTGACACAGGGCTCCCTCCAGCGTCCTGGCCCACAGTCCCTTCCCGGGCCTCCTCTCCAGTGCCTGGACCCTCGCCAAGCTCCAGGATGGTGGGTAGGTGGCCCTGCTTTGGAGAACGCTTACGCAGGCTGAGCAGGAAGGGCTGGGGTAAAGAGAAGATGTCCACATTGTTGCCCAGATCTATCCACGTGACGTTGGGGAACTTGCTGGGGTCCTTCAGGGTATCAGTAAGGTCACGCAGCAGGGCCCTGGTCAGCCTGTTGCCGTTGAGGGCTAGTGTGGTGAGACGGGGCAGGGTGCTGAGAGCTGGGAGTAACTGCAGGACCATGTCATCCGTGAGGCCTGTGAAGCCCAGCTCCACGCTGTCCACCTGTTCCCCACAGCGCTGAAGGTAGCTGGTCACACGCTCCAGGTCACGGGATGTCAGTGGGATGCCCGACAGGTCCACGGTGTTGTCTGGAGGGTTCCCAGCCAGTACAGCCTTGAGGCTGAAGAGATGGGACAAGGACAAGCAAGGTTCAAGCAAGTGAGGCTGGCCTTTCTGTGGGAGGCAGCGGCAGCCACCATCCTGGGGCCAACCTGTGCTCAGTTGTCTGACTAGTGATTGTTTCTCAAACACGCAGGTAAAACTGCAAGTTCAAGGGTAGGAGGAACAGGACAGTATCTCCGCACATTTTGGCCTGGGTGGGTGGGGTGGTCAGGGTCTGCAGTCAAGGCCCACAAACCTTTTGAGACTGCCAGGGGAAGGGCCAGGCGTTTGTGCATAATTCCTGTTCCTGCATGCACCTTAAGTCCTGTGCTTGTACTCGGGCCTCTACTTAATTACCTCAGAAAAGGAGCTAGTGGTGTGGTACAGGTCAGCAGAAAATAAATACAGAACGTTTAGAGCAGTGCTTTTCCTGTAGATGAGATGGATAAAGATGGGTTGGCTGCTTTCATTCCCTTGAGTAGCGGCTGAGCTGACCCCAGCAGTGCACAAAAGATCTCAGGCCTCTCTCTGAAGCCTTGTCTTCCCACCAGTTGGGGGATCCTCTGACTGCAGGGTGGGTTTCAGCCTGGTGGGAGCTACTGCTTCCTGGGGGCTCAGAGCTGCCCACCCCATTCTCACCGTCCCTGCTGCTGGCTCCTCTTTATTTCCCTGTTCCTTTCTCTTGGGCTGGTGGCCCTGAGGCCTATGCACAGTACTCATTCTTTACAATTCCAAGTGTTCAGACGAGTCCCCTCCTCCCCCCACAGGCAGGAGGGGAAGTAGGGTGCCTTACAACCCGCTCCACGTGTGTTTGGTGCGTTCCTTATTACCAGCAGCTCAAAGGGGCACAGACTTCCGGTCAAGCCAGTAAGGCTGTGTCCTGGGGGTCTCCTGAAGCTGGGAGGCTGCCTGTAGTTTGCTGGGTCGCTTCTGACGGGGTCCAGCCCCAGACAGTTTAAAGCTTTCAAGGCAGGAGGTGTAATGGCTTGGAACACTGCCTGGGGTTTGTTCAGCACAACTTAATATTGGCTTCTATTATCAATGCCATTAACAAAGCAGACGCATCGCACAAGGGAAACTGGCCTGCTTAGTGGCTTGCACTTCAGACTCAGACAGACCTGAGTTTGAGCCCAGCGCCAGTGCTTCCCGGCTGTGATGTCTTGGCCGGAGGACAGCAGTGCTTCCCCCACCAGAGTCTTTCCTTTAACAACTTCAAAGGCCTTGCGGCGTGCCAGGCACTGGGGTCAGAGTTGGACACCATGGGCCAGATCCCTAATTTCACTCTGCTGGGGAGATGTAGTAAGTAGTTACAGAGCGGTGGCTATTCCGGCAGGGCTTCTCTGGAGAGGTAACACTGGAGCTGACTCAAGAAAAAGCATGGGCAATCAGAGGAGCTTGGCGGGAGTTCCAGCGGTGAGCGTAGATGCAGAGGGTGAGGCTGGAAGGAGCCTGGCCTGCTCTTGAACCAGCAGGAAAGCCAGTATGGTTGGGGTGAGGCGGTGAGAGGTGAGGCCAGAGAGGGAGGGAATAAGGAGTGGTCACTTAGTGCCCTACTTGGATTTCATTCAAGTGTGATGAGAAGCCCTCTGTGGGGAATGAGGAAGCCTTGCTTACATGGCTGTCTTTTTGTGTGTGTGTGTGGAGTGGGGGGGAGTGTCTTTTTGAGGCAGGGTCTTGCTATGCAGATCAGGGTGGCCTTGAACTCACTTTGTACCACAGGCTGGCCTTGAATTTGTGGCAATCCTCTTGCCTGAGCCTCCTGAGTGCTGGGATTATAGGTGTGCACCACCACGCCCGGCACTTAATGGCTCTTGAATCAAGAATGAACCGTACATGCACATGTGTGTGTTGGAAGACAGAAGAGGCCAGCAGGGCTCAAACTTTGAGCTTTTCAACCCCGAAGTACTAGGTCCCAAGGCTCCTGACTTCTGTCCCAGTCTCTGGCCTCCACCCTGGGCTAGCTCTTTCTACCTGGGAAGGCCACCTCAGGATCCATCTTCCTACTTCTTTCCTCCTCAGAGAGGAAGAAGGCTCTAGAGCTTATTCTGCACCACAGAGGAGCGGGCAGTCCTTTCTTGCCTTATCTTCAGGGACCCATAAGGATGACTTAGTAGCAGTACAAGGCCTTGTGGAAGAGTCCCAGAAGGCCTGCCATTCTACCCCACGGTCACCTGTGAAGAAGGCAGGGTGCTTCCTCCTCCAGGAATCCTGTCTTCCAGGGTCCCTTCCAGCTGTTTCCTACAGGGGTCATAAAACCTGAGGGGGTTGTCACTGCAGCATGGCCAGGGACGTGGCCTGGCTCTGGGTCACCTTGGGAGGACACTGCAGTGTCCTGGGGGTCTCCTGGGGTGCTCCTTTGAACACATGGAATTGGAAACATCCTCGCTTCAACAAGATGTGCTCTTGGCCGCTTTTCCTACCCTTAAATTCTTCCTGTCCCGGCTGCTTTCCCACCCTTCAACTCTGCCTGGTCCCATGCCCTCCCGGGGGCTTCCCCAGACACCTCCTCAGGCTCTAGCCCCTCCGCCACCTGCCCAGGGAGGCCTTGCAGTCGGGGTGGGGGCGCTGGGCTGGTTCACCCTAGGGACTCGCTCACCAGGCCTGTGGCTTCCTCTTCGCCAGCCCACGGTGCCGCCTGCACTGGGAGTGGGGGCTGAGGTGGTATGTCAGCTGCCGGCACAGCTTCTCCATGGCACCCAGGACGTCAGCCTCCTGCAGAGGAACCACAGGGCCCAGTGTCTGTGTCATCAGGAGCAACTGGAGGCGCACAGTGGGGCCCCTACCCCATGCTCCATCTCCTTAAAGATGCACAGATTAGAGGCTGAGTGGGGCATGCCGCTGTGCTAGCCCAGTGGGGGCGCCCTGGGCAGGGAGCAATAGGTACAAACCAGTATGCGTGAAGGCCTTAATTTTTGTGAGCTAGCTGCCATCCCTGAAAGACTGAGGTTTTAAAGTTTATATTTAGTAACCTGGCAATAGGTGGCTGGAGCTGAATGCCTGCACCCTCTTCCCGGAGTCACCGTGCTTCTGCCTCTCCCCACTGTCCAGACCATTCTGCTGCCTCACTTTCTCAACAAATATTTACTGAGCACTTGCTCGGTGCTAGGTGCTTGTTCTGGGAAGCTGGGTTATAGCCTTGAACACTGGTCCTTGGTCTTCTATTCAACATAGTAAAGAGGAAAATGAAATATTTTTTACCTATGTTTTCTCTCAAAAATGAGAAAAGAATGTGAAGATTCCCAGGCATGGTGGTGCACACCTGTAATCCCAGCACTTGGGAGGCTGAGGTGGGAGGATTGTTATGAGTTTGAGGCCAGCCTGGTCTACAAAGTGAGCTCAAGGCTAGACCGAATTGCACAGTAAAACTCTATCTCAAAAACAACAACAACAACAAAAAAAAACCAAAAAAAAACTGAAGCTGGGTGTGGTGGCACATGCCTGTAATCTCAGCACTCGGGACTTTGAGGCAGGAGGATCATTGTGAGTTTGAGGCGAGCCTGGGCTGCAAAGTGAGCTCAAGTTCAGCCTGAACTGCATAGTGAGACCCTGTCTCAAAAAAAAGAAAAACCAAAATGAAAGAAAAGAGACCAAATCTTTCCCAGCCCAATTCATTAGTCTATATTACCTGTTTGGTATGTCAGCATTTCACTTGGAGAGTCTGAGTATAATGGGCTGGACTGTGTCCTCTCCAAAAAATTGTATGTGTGTGTGTGTATTTTTTTGGAGACTGAACTTAGGGCCTTGTGCATATTGGACAAGTGCTCTGCCACTGAGCGCTCAGCCCTCAACCCCCTGCAAAATTTATACGTTGACTTTTTTTGAGACAGTCTTGCTCTCTAATTCAGGCTGGTTTTGAACTCATTATGTAGCCCTGGCTAGTCTCAAACTCACAGTAATCCTCTTGCCTCAGCCTCCCAAGTGCTGTGATGACAGGTGTGTGCCACTACACCCAGCTATACACTGACTTCTTAACCCCCTATATGTCAGAATGTAACTGATGATTACATTTGCACACAGGGTCTTTTTTAGAACCTGAGGTCCTGAACTCAGGACCGTGTGCTTGCCAGGCAGGCACTTTGTGCCACTGAGCTATATCCTGGACACAGGGTCTTTAAAGAGGTAAGTAAACCAAGATGGCTGCTGGTGTCCTTATAAGAAAAGATTAGGAAACATAGGAAAGACAGTGAGGACACGGGGAGAAGGAGGTTCTCCACAAGAGGCCTCAGAGGAAAACAACCCTGCCTGTCTTGTACTTCTGGCCTCCACAATAGGGAGAAAAATAAACTTCTGTTGTTGAAGTCACAGTCTGTAGTATTTTGTTACAGGGGCTGAGCAGATTAATCCTTGTATTAGGTAAGTAACCTAGAGATGATTGAAAGTATCTGGGAGGATGTGCATAGGTTATATGCAAATCCTGTGCTATTTTTCTATAAAGGACTTGCACATCTGTGGACTTTGTACCTGCACACTTGTGCATATTAGACAAGTGCTCTACCACTTGGTCCTAGAACCAAGCTCCCACGGATCCTGGGGAAGGACTGTGCTGTGCCATCCTGGATTTACAGGTCCGGACAAGTTCCTCAGCACCCAGGTGAACCCCTGGTCAGGGAATGAGCTGAGGGATGCATAGGAGGTAGAGAAGGCACAGTCAGACAAGCAGGAGCGAGCAGGGCCGTAGGCACCAGGGAGGAGGGTGGCCAGTGGCGACACCCACGGGGGCCTCTGCACCTCCAGGGAAAGGTCTTGGCGAGAACAGGCTTGGGGCGAGGTCATCCTGGGGGATGGGGAGAAGGCTGATTCAGGAGACAAAAAAGGGATGTGAAAATGGGATGACAGTAGAGATGGCACACACAGACCCAGTCCTCTACTTTGGAATCCTTGGGAGTTTGTTTGTTTATTTATTTATTTATTTGACAAGGTGGCCTTGAACTCACTGTGAACCCCAGGCTGGCCTTGAATTTGTGGGGATCTTCCTGCCTCAGCCTCCTGAGTACTGGGGTGTACCACCATGTACACCTTTGTCTGGGGAGCTTTAAAAAACATGGATGCCTGGGTAGGCCACTTTGGCCTAGGGTTTTAACTGCTGTGCAGGTGATTCTTTTGTGCAGCCAAGGTGGAGATGCACCAGATAAAATGATTTTTAAATCCTGATTGTCTTTAGCCCAGGGTGGTGGCACATACCTGTAATCCCAGCCCTTGGGAGGCTGCGGCAGGAGAAGCGTTGTGAGTTTGAGATCACCCTGGGCTACAAAGTGAGCTCAAGGCCAGCCTGAGTTGCATAGTGAGACCGTCTCAAAAAGATAAAAAAAATCCTGATTGTCTAGGACCAGTGGGTGGGGTCAGGTGGGATCGAACCGATACCCCAGGACAGAAAGTGGCAGGTCGTCCAAAGCTGAAAACTGAACTACTCAGCTCTGGCACCTCCTTCAGCTACTTGCACAGTTTCCAAAATCCGCGGGACTTTCCCTCCACCCTCCAGGCCAGGGCAGCTGTGCCTTACAAGAGAACAAAGGAGGAAAAAAGGGCTTCAGTACATCACTTGTGCCACAAGGGGGCAGCCATGAACGAGGCACGGATTAATGGGGCTCTTGCTGCCAGAGAAGTGCAGGGAGCCTCAGCCTTCTCACTTGCTAAACCGGGACAATAGACGCAGTTACGCAGGGTAATAGCGTTGGGCTGAGAATAAAGGTGAGTTAATGATTTCACAGAAGTGCGTTTGTTGGTTTGAACTACATTAAACAAAAGCCTTTTCTTCTTTATTTTTAGTGCCCTGGCTTCAGCCCAGGGCTTCACACACGCTTGTCAAGCAAGCGCTCTACCACTGAGCTACATGCCCAGACCTATAGCTTATATTTATTTGAGCATCTGCAGCACATCAGGTGTTTCCTCTCTGCATTGTATGCATGAGCTCCTTACGGTCCTGGAGCACACAGCGGTCCTTACACCCCCCTTTACAAAGGCAGGAACTGAGGCATAAAGAAGTTAAAGATACATCTTGCAAGATGGAATCAGGACTCACCTCATTAACTGGCTCAGAGACGCTACTTCCATCACCAATCCTTTCTGTGCTCTGTCCTACCCTCCTTGTGAGAATCTGTTTTTTGCATAGGTTCACTCAAGGTGTTTCTGTCATTTGCATGGAGAAAATCCTCCAGCAAGACCATCCTACTTTCTTCCTAACTCCTGCTCTGTTCAGGCCCCCTCCTGGGGAAAACACAACTGGGCAAGGCTGACCCGTAGGTGGAGGAGTAAAGGAGGAAGCAAAAGAGGAGGAAGTACCATCTGTGTGTGATTTTAAGGTCGGGACATGGCTGCCTCCCAGGTTTGAAGCAGCCATGTCTTGTGCAACCTCTGCCTACCACCCTGTGACAATGAGTGCTCCATGTGACACATGTCCATGTGGCCTGTGCCCAGCACCCCCCACCTCTGGTAACTTCCTTCTCCAGGTGGTGCAGCCCAGCAGCCCTTTGTGCAACCAGAGCTCCTTTCCAAACTCCTGGCTTGTCCAGAAGTGTGTCCTGACCTGCCTTTTCCCAGAACCTGGACCCCAAGATACCCCTTCCCAGACTCCTGGGGACTGCAACTCTGACAGTAAGCAGGCAGCTACGAGCAGCCATGTCCCCTACTCTGTGGGTAGTGTGGGAAAGAGGAGTCTGCAGGGGGAATGGCAGTGGGGAGGAGGGCAAGGGACAAACCTTGGCACCACACTTGCCTGTAGTTCTAGTGCCTCCATCAAGCTTGCCTGCCTTTGGATGCACAAGACAGTGAAGTATCTGGGATAAATTCTCTTCCTCACTTAGGCAGTCTGAGTAGGCTTCTGTGGGTTGCAATGGGGCCCTAAGCCATGAAAGTGGCTTAATGGAGGTTTGAAGAATCAACTCTACAGCTCTTCTCTGCCCATGGGGAAGGGAGCTGAGGAAGGAGGTGGCAGGGTGCAACAGGGGTGACTGCACCACAGCTGCTCTGGACCTGCCTAGTGACACTGTCAGAGGCCCTGGGGAGGATCTGTTAGAGGGACTTCTCAGTCTCAGGGACTTGTGGGAAAGATGCTCAAGGCAGACCTGTAGGCCCGTCCGGGAGCATCCCCACACTACTGCTCCATCTCTCAGCTGTCAGTGACATCATCTCCTACTGTCACTTCCTGGGCACCTTTGTAATGGCACCCAGGATCCCAACAAGCACAGTCCTTTATTGCCCTCCACTCAGAGGCTTCCGTCATTCATACATTTACTCAGTCATTTATCAGATACTGACTGCCTTGTCTACTAAATGCTGGATGCCATCCAGGTACGGTGTCTGGGTCCAACAGAATCAGCAGGCTGGCAGAAGGGATGTATGTGACTGCGGAGTCTGGGCCACGAAAGGTAGCCTGGCTTCTGCCTCCTTTGGTAAGAGCTGCTATCATGATGTGAAGACACTCAAGAAGCCCACACAGCAAGGAACAGAGGCCTCCTGCCAACCCCTGAACCTGCCATCTGGAAAGTGGGCCAGCCAGGTTTCATCAAGCCTTCCGATACTTGCAGCCCTGACCAATGTTTTTTTTCCTCTCAGTATGGTGATGGAACCCAGGGCCTCCCCCATGGTAGGCAAACACTACCACTGAGCTACATCCCAGCCCCTGACCAATGTTTTGAGAGACCCTAAGTTAGAACTACTGAGCTAAATTGCCCCTGAATTGAATTGTTGACCTATAGAGATTGTATAAGAATAAA